TATACAAAAACATTAATTATAAACTCCAAACATCTATAACTTCAAATTAGTATTTATATTTATATTATTATTTATTATTTATATATATATTAAAAACTTCGGTTAACCGTTCGGTTAATTCGGTTAACGAACCGACCTTTCGAACCGAATTAACCGTTAACCGAAGTTTTAAAATTCCTTTAACCATTAACCGAACCGAAAAAGTTCGGTTCGAAAACGGTTAACCGAACTTTGTCGGTTCGATCGGTTAACCGAAAATTATCCGAAGTTTGCGCACCCCTAAATGTGACCTCAATTGTCTTTATATGTGAATTATTCATTTTGTAAACTCCCATTAATATTTTAAAATATTAATCTTTCCTATAAGATTTATTAGATAATGAAAATTTTGCATTTAAATTCTTAAAGTTATTGTTGTTGTTGTTATTAAAATGTTTGAAAATATTTTACAATGAATAAGTTAAGAATAATAAAAAGTTAATAGAATATTTTGTTACTAAAGTTTGTACATAAATAGAAAAGTATAAAGGGAAAAATGGTAACTTTTGAAATGTTTTATCATTATACAAGAAATAAATCAAAAAATGTACAAGTTATCAACTCATATTATTACACCAACATAATTTTTATTCCCATTATAACCTTACCAACATTAACTTTTATTATATTTATTCTCTCAATCTTCTATTATATTTTGTTATATATTTAGTAGATAGATTAGTAGAAAATATCAAGCATTGGCATGTTTAATAAATTTAACAATATTGGGAAGAATAAATTTAACAATATTTATTACAAATGTCATTTAAATAGGAAGTTCAAATAAAGTATTTTCTACACTCGATGCTCTCATTCACAAATCCAGATGAATAAAATTAAAAATATATCACTTAATCGTTGTAATAAGTATATTTTTGTAAAAGGTGACAATTTTTTCTAAAAGTATTAAACTCTTTTGTTGTACGAAATATTTGTTTATCGCGTCAATTCTTTTTTTGAGTTAATACCATCTAGGGTCCTCTGAGTATAGTGGTTTTGCCACGTTTAGTCATAAACTTTCAAATTACCACCTATGGTCCTTCGACTTTCAAATTTTTACCATCCGTGGTCCAAGTTAACCACACAAGGTCCTTCAACTATCAAATTTTCACCACCCATGGTCCTTATAGAGGACTGCGACTGGTTAAATTTTAAAAGTTGAAGGACCATAGGTGGTTAACTTGGACTACGGATGGTAACAATTTGAAAGTCGAAGGACCATATGTGGTAATTTGAAAGTTTAGAACTAAACGTGGCAAAATCACTATACTCGGAGAACCCTAGATGGTATTAACTCATTTTTTTTATAAAGCACTTTTATCTAGTTTTTTTTTTTTTTTTTTTTTTTATTACTATTGACTTTATTACAACATTGTATATGTTCTATACTATCCTCAAGGGAAGTTACAGAGGTGTCATTTGAACACAAGGTGCTTGATACATTTTTATCTAGTTAATCTATAATGTGTCAACTAAGTCACGATAATTAATGCCAATGACCTTGTGGGCCAGTCTAGTGGCACGAAATGACTATTCCAAATGAAAGGTCATGGGTTCAATCTCACTCTTTGTACTTCAGTAGGTTGAGAAAATAATTTATAACAGATACTGCATTGTAATAGTCAGTAATACTCAAAAAAAGTCACGATAATTAATAAATACAAACAAAAATTACATTTACCCATAGAAACTCAATTATCCAAAGCAGGAAAAAAAATTAGAGCGCGAACATAATTTTTTTTCCCGGAAATAAATTCAAAGCTGCTAAAAACGGCATTTAACAAGTTGCATGCTTATCTGTGCCGTAATAAAATTGCGTAATTTTTTATTTTTAGTCTTTATTTTGGTGCTGTTAAAGGGTAAAAGGCGGCCAAGTTTCTCGTGAGGGCTTTTAATTTGATGTTCACCGCACCAAATTCCCAATTATAGCCATAACTCTTGATGGGGCCCAACCCGAAATCCGAATCCTGCAATACCCATCCCCACTTTTAAAGGATCTTGTAATGTTGTTTCCTCACATCCAACCTCCACTTGTCAATTGCTCATCCTTTTCCTTTGTCACACTATAATCTATTTATATATTGCAAAAATAAAAATAGTATATGTACTCTTATTTTTTTACTCTCAATTTGTACTCTCATAGACAAAATTTTGATATAGACACTTATATTAGAGTCCACATGAAAAACGTAATTTATTGGTGTCTGTTACATCAGGGAGTAAAATTTGAGAGTTCATGTAACAAAACTCTTGCAAAAAATAGTGATCCTCTTGCACCAGCTTCCAACTTAATCTTGGTTTAAATCTTTCAATAACATGTTTGACTCATGAAATAGGAATCGAATAAAATATCATTTTTTGCGAATAGACATATTCCATTGTTTGTCTTGACTTTTTATTCTCAAGAATATCATTCCTAGGAATGAGCTATTTCCTTTACAGAGGGAATCGAAATTCTTAAATGCACCTTAAGTGTAGAACTGACGCACCTTAAGACACGTTTGGTTCACAAAATGAATTTGTAGGGAATAGAAATGCTATTCCACATGGAATGAAAT